TACCCCTGCTCTAAACAGTCATTCAACAAGTCTCATTCATTGAATGAGTCTGGGTTCCATTTAAATGTAGTGGATAAGTCTTGCTCCTTACAGTACGAGGTCTATATTCCTTATGAAGCACTTTCAAGCCATAGCCTACGCATTTCAGTGATTCCAGTATTGGCTTGGTCCAGGAAGATCTTCATATCACCAATAGATAAAGATACGATTACTTCAATGTTGACTTCTATGACTAATCGCTGTGTTCTTGCATTGGTATTGATGATTGTAATGTAATGTGAGAAAGACCTTGGGGAGGGTGAAGAAGAAATGCTGCCTAAGGAATGGTCAGTTAAGGGAAGCCATAGTCTGCATTGGACAATGGAAGTAGAAAGAGGTTCCAAAGGGACTCTCCCTAGCTTTTCAGGCTGTGAAGGAGAGGGCAGAATATTGGTACTTCAAAGATTCTTCTACTGTCACCTTAAAATGAAATAGAATTAGAATCATCTGCTCATGTTTCCTATATGATCTACCTGGGAAGCTTGACTGTGGGTCTCGTATTCCCATTTTTAGTTTTCTTGTGAACCTTGTTTTAATATAGATTTACAGATTGTTAAAATGATTGCCTATTGGCCTTCTTCCACATTCAACAGAGCTGCTGATTGGTGCCATCTTTGCATGAAGCATCATATATGGAATTTCCATCCATCTTGGGAGACCCCGTTTGGCTCCTGCTTCAGAGAAAACACTCCTGCTTCAGAGAAAACAAAAATTTGCAATGCTCTCCTTGGAGCTACAAGACAGCTTGCCATAGGACACCTTGGCTTCTTCTCATGCCCTTGATGAACCAATGAATGAAAATAGCATGTCCTCTGCCTCCTGCTTTGGGAGTAGCTTGCTGAAAAGAGCACTGACCAACATGGGATACACCTCAGCAATTTAGACAAAACCGGGTATTAAGCGGAAAGGCTTTGTTAACTCTGCAAAGTAGTCCAGACTGTTCTGACATAGGCTTCCTGAGTCCATAAAACACACGAGTAGTCCCAAAAATCTCTTTTATTTCAAAGCTGTGAATTCTGTTCATTCACAGATGAGTCCCAAATAGTTGTAAAGAGTCCTTCAGGATAAGGCTGATAATCACCCACCTTTATCTCCCTTGACACGCTGCCAAAGACCTAATTGGCAAAGCCACACGGAGTCCAGAATCAAACAGAGCTTCAGACTTTAAACTGAACAGAATTAACAATGTTACTTCCTGCAAAGGCTCACGTGCCTTTGCTCCTCTTTTAAGTCTTATGGGAGGGGCCAATCATCTCCAAGTCCTACTCCCAAGTCGTCCCTTTTGTTTTAACTGTTCTTGCCTTCTGGCAGCTCTACACATGCGCACACTGGGAACAGGCTTCCCCTGTTCCTCTGCCTCTCTGATGTCTGACTCTGGAGGCTCCGGAGGCAGCACATACCTCCCAGATGGCCCTTTCTCTGCCTCTGACGCAGAGCCTTCCCCAGACTCCAGGACTGGCCCATGTTCCTCCCAACCTCCTCACTGTCCAACTCTGCTGCCAGCTCCGCAGGCTGCCAGCGGACCACAACACAGACAAGAAACACAACCACGAATACTAGCTCAGAAGTTACATTAACAGAATCATGTAAGACTGAAAGTATTTCTCCCACCCTTTCCTTTTACTCTGTGAAAAACTAGGAAATATCCTTTCTGAAATCATCCCTATGTTCTCCTTCCTTCTGTGGACTGAGATATCTGGATAATGGTTCTCCAGTCTGCAGCTTTCCCTCCTGTCTCCCAAGGCCATTCTCACTTACCATTACAGATTTCAACTCAATGAACCTCTTGCCAAAACTCAATTTGTCTTAGGAAAATTGTTGCCCTTAAGCTGTTTCCTCACTGTCCCCATTGTCTATGAAATCATGAGGCTATGTAAAGAACAGATGTATTCTAATTAAGAGTATTTTATCGGAATGCATTTTGAGGGTAAAAAAATGAGAGAATATACATGAGCGAAGAAGCCTTTTGTTGGGTATAATCTAATGTGTAAGCGGAAAATGCAAAATGGCACAAATCAAAAGCAAACATAGGCAGATGCTTTACGCATAATTAGCCCAGGAAAAAAATAAATCATTTGAAAGGCTTAGGAAGAACACAGCAGCCTAATGAGAAAATAGGTGCTGTACTGAAATAGCACCCTTTTCAATAAATGGAATATCAAGAAGGATTTATTTTTCCTATTTTAGAGCCTATGTACACATAGATAGAAGAAGATATACAAATCAGATAAACTGGAATCAGTTTTTTTTTCCTGTCTGCTCTGCAAGATGCCTAAAGGTCATACATAGAAACTTGGCATCTCTCTTTGATACAGATAGTTCCTCACTTAGCAGCCATATCTGAGACCAGCAATTTGGTTGTTTACTAAGCGATTACTAAGTGAAACCTTGACTGTGCTTGTGATCTTACTTCAACTTATCTTTACTTTACAGATCTGCAATGGTCATAAATTCAGGCATTGGTCACATCACCATCATAATTGGGAATGGTCATAGTCCAAGGCAGTCATTAAACAGGGATTACTTGTAGTCTCTTCCTTTTTTTTTCTTCTTCTTCCTATGGATGTGATCTCACTTGGCCACCAAGGGGTTGTCCGTTTGCAGAGCAGGAACTTTTAGGACATAAGTAGGAATGATGGAGAAATTACTTGGTTTTATACTTATTAAAGAGCTGCTTAATAGAATAGAATAGAATTCTTTATTGGCCAAGTGTAATTGGACACACAAGGAATTTGTCTTGGTACATACGCTCTTGGTGTACATAAAAGAAAAGATACATTCGTCAAGAATCATAAGGTACAAGACTTAATGATAGTCATAGGGAAACAGTCAATATAAATCTTAAGGATACCAGCAGCAAGGTTACAATCATACAGTCATAAGTGGGAGGAAATGGGTGATAGGAACGATGATAAGATTAATAGTAGTGCAGACTTAGTAACCAATTAGACCGTGTTGAGGGAATTATTTGTTTAGCAGAGTGATGGCATTCGGGAAAAAACTGTTCTTGTGTCTAGTTGTTCTGGTGTGCAGTGCTCTATAGCATTTCCTACATCAATAGATGAACCATAATCATTGTCTTTAATTTTATGAAGCAGTTCTCCATTAAAAAAAATATGTAAAAAAAGTAATGCAAAGGACAGATGTATGCATGATGAAAATCTTTATAAAGTTTTACAGGAGAAGGGGTTTAGTTACAAGCTGGTGTGGAAATGGTTAAAAATCTAAGTTGAGATCAAAAACGAGAACTCAGAATGGATAAATTCATCAGTATAAGTTACTTTGTGCTTGTAGATTGACAAGTATTATATATAACTTATTGAGAACTAATCCATAGCCCATAGATATACCATGAACGGGTTTTGGCCTTATTTTTTTAATTAATTGGTTTATTTATAACCTACTTTTGCTATTTTTTAGAAATAATTCCAGGCAGTGAATTCCTAATACTCCTTCCCCCTTCCTATTTTCTCCACAGCAATCCTATGAGGTGGGTTGGACTGCGAGAAAATAACAGGCCCCAAATTACCCAGCCATCTTTCATGCCTAAAGTGGAATTATAACTCACAGTCGCCTGATAATTGACCCAGAGATGCCCAGCTGGTTTTCATGTCTTAGGCAGGATTAGAACTCACAGACCTCTGGTTTCTAGCCTAATGCCTTAACCATTAGACCAAATGTCTGTAGAGATTATCAGTCATCCAGGTCATGGTTGTCCCAAAGATGCTTTTTCAGGAGGCAACTGGACTTTCTTCTTTTCTCTTTGAGGATGTTTCAGTTCTCATCCAAGAAGCTTCTTCAGCTCTGACAGGATAGTGGTCCATTCCCCACTATCCTGTCAGAGCTGAAGAAGCTTCTTGGATGAGAAGCGAAACATCCTCAAAGAGAAAACAAGTCCAGTTGCCTCCTGAAAAAGCACCTTTGGGACATTAGATCAAACTGGCTCTCTATTATTATCTTTCTCTCTTTCTATTATCTAGTCCAAAAATTGTCATGGTGAACTGGGAATAAAGAAGATTTTATTTTTTTTCAGATTAAGGGCCTCACTTTCTACTTGTGTTTCAAGAGCCACACTTGCAAAGATAGCCAATGGAGCCAGGACAGTTGCTAAATTGATTCTACTTCCCATAAATTTTAATTAAGTTCAAACTTTGCCCAGCTAATAACATTATTATCCATTTCCCCTTCAGTCACATGGAACATTATCATTTGAAAATGGCTTTTAAAAATTTGACCTTGCACTATCACTTCTGGATTGTTGGTTTACATGCTGGTTTTAAACATTTCTGCTTTTGAGAAAACAGCTGGGAAGATGGACTGAAAAACCTTTTAAGTTCCGAAAGATTATAGGCATCCATGTTGAGTTTGTGCCCTATTTTGCGACCGTTTGTGAAGAGAATTGCTGTAATTTTTAAGTTAGTAACACGGTTCTTAAGTGAATCTGGCTTCCCCATTGACTTTGCTTGTCAGAAGGTTGCAAAAGTTGATCACGTGACTCTGAGACACTGCAACCGTCATAATTACATGCCAGTTGCCCAGTGTCCAAATTTTGATCACATGACCACGGGGATGCTACAACAATCCTAAGTGTGAAAAACTCATAATTTATTTCACTTTTTTGGTGCGGCTGTAACTTCCAACCCTCACTAAGCAAATGGTTGTAAGTCAAGAACTATCGTAAATGTAAGAATGTGTTGGCTTCTCCGGTCAGAAGTGGAACAGAGACACAGCATTAACGGCCCATATAACTCAATTTCCAATTATTGCTATCACGGCTGGTATGGCCTGACAATATGGATTGCATGCCATAGATGAGAGCCAAATGCATTGTAGACTAAATGTATAAAATCTAAACCGATTGGGCTATAAACGGATTGCCTGGAAAGGCTCCTCATCGTGTCTTAATGTTCCCAGGTTGCTGTGTTTTTGAATGCCATATTTGTTTCTGTTTTGTATTACAGATCCCTTCTACAATCAGGTCTATCCATCAGGATAAAATCCTAGCACTTAGACAGCAGACACAGTTCTTGTGGGAGGCTTATTTTTCTTCAGTTGAGAAGATTGTATTGACCACACTAGAGGTGAGTAACAATTTTCAGATAATAGCTGGAGCTGAATCCCGGCTTTTCTGCACATTTGGATTGCGTCTGGTCTTGACTTTTGCAGGTACTTAGCAAGGCAAGCGCCTCTGCAAAGAATCGGATGAAGGAGAGACTTTCAACTTCTTTATAACTTTTTCCTCCCTTGAGGTACTAGGGTCTTTGTCTCTGGGATTGGTGTAAGAAGAAATGACAGGCTGACAAATTGGCAACCATCTTAACTTGCTAGGAAATGTGGTCTCTCGTAGACTGGAGGCTTCTCGGGATTTTTTGATAGCTGATAAATCAACTGGCTTGTCATTGATGGTAAATGGGTTCTTTAAGACCCTTTCCTGGGAAAAAAAATCATGTTTTGAAAAAAATGATACTATAAAACTTTTTCCTCTGTTCACGCAGGCTTTCTGCTCCAAGATGTTTTCAAAGTCTTTGATGGATGTCTGGAGGAAGGTGGAAAAAATTTTGGGCTTAAGGCAGTAGCTATTTCAGGTTAAGGAGGCAAATGTCAGAAACTTGACTGAGAATTAAAATGAGCTAGCCACGTTTTTAAGTGCCTTTATGGGGAGCCTTGGCTCGATTTTACAGATCCTGGCCTGCACTTCCCCCCCCCCTCAGTATCTTCGTAGTAATGCCTTGCATACATAAGCACAGACTCCAGCCTTCTCTAAGTCATGGTGTAAAGAAAAGAGAATAGAAGATATTTGAGCCTAGCAAAGCAATTCAATTCTTTGCAATCAGAGATTACAGGCAAATGAAATTTTGACAATGCTGAAGAATCCTTTCCTGCAAATCTGCATGTAGCAGATGAAATAAGACTGCATTTCTTGAATTCAGTTTCTGAACAAATCCCCTTCTCTGTTGATTCATCCACATTTAGTGTCAGCTACATGTTCCCTTTTTGCTCTTCCTATAGCAAATTCCTGTTTTTTCAGTTTTAATCACTACCATAATGAGTTCTCTCACTAAATAAAAATATTCTTCAAACTAATAATAATAACTTTATTGTAATTGTATGTGTATACACAGTATACCCATACAACGAAATTCACTTAACACCCAAAGACCAGGTCCAACACACATAACAATCCCCAAACACACTCCCACCCATCACAATTCCCCACCCCTAAACCACCCAAACATCCACACAACAGACCAAGTAACTATGATTTCATTCAGATTAGAACAGGTCCAATAGAAGCAATGGCTTTAGGTTAGTCTTGATTCTGGCCCCCTATTATATTGCATCTACACTTACAACAGGCTTATAAGCACACTATGATAGCATCATTGTTTAGTCATGAAGTTTCTTCGCAACACCGTGAACTACAGCATGCCCTGCTCCCTTGTCCTCCCCTGTCTCCCAGAGTTTCCCCAAATTCATGTTCATAGCACTAGATGATACTACCTCATCACTATTTAACCACTTATCTAACTCCTAGCCATAGGAGCCCTGGTCATACTGTGGTTAATTGCAGTATTGCAGGCAAACTCTGCCCAAAGTTTGGGCAGAGTTCGATCCTGATTAAGGCTCAAGGTTGACTCAACCTTCGATCCTTTTAAGGTTGGTAAAACCCAGATTGTTGGGAGCAATATGCAAATTAGGGGATTGGAGGCTAAAACATATAAAGAACGGTTGCTGAAATTGGGTATGTCTAGTTTGATGACTAGACAGGACTAGAGGTGACATGATAACAGATATCTCAGAGGTTGCCACAAAGAAGAGGGAGTCAAGCTATTCTCCAAAGCACCTGAGGGCAGGACAAAGAAGCAATGGATAGAAACCAATCAAGGAGAGAAGCAGCCTAGAACTAAGAAGAAATTTCTTGACAGTTAGAACAATTAGTCAGTGGAACAACTTGCCTCCAGAAGTTGTAAATGCTCCAACATTGGATGTTTTTAAAAAGAGATTGGACAACCATTTGTCTGAACTGGTACTGGGTTTCCTGCTTGAACAGGTGGTTGGACTAGAAGACCTCTAAGGTCCCTTCCAACCCTGTTATTCTCTTCTCTTCTAAATAATGCTGAGATTGTAAACCACCCAGAGATTGCTGTAAAACACTATGGGGCAGTATATAAGTCTAAATGTTATTGCTATTGCTATCTCATCTTCTGCCATCCCCTTCTCCTTTAGCCTTCAGTCTTTCTCAACATCAGGATCTTTTCCAGTGAGTCCTCTCTTCTCATTAGGTGGCCAAAGTGTTTGAGCTTCAGCTTCAGTATCTATCTTTCTAAAGAACAGTCAGGGCCGGTTGCTTTAGAGTTTGACTGATCTGATCTTCTTACAGTCCAAGGGACTCTCAAGAGTCTTCTCCAGCCCCACAATTCAGAACGCTTCAATTTAGCGCTCGGCCTTCCTTATGGTCCAACCCTCACAGCCGTACATTATTACTGGGATGATGGCATCACTACAGATATAATCCTTAGCCATGTTTAATATTGACAGAACAAACTGGGGCACTTCCTGAGAAGTTAGCTTTCAAGATTAAAAACTAAATTTTCCAGGATCCAAAGTCAACTCAACTCTTGGTGATTTATCAGTATGTCCATGCAGTTTGCTTTCTTTTCACCAAAAATAAATGATTTTGCCATTGCTTCTTCTGAACAGTCTAGTTTACAGATTCCTTAATGGTTCCCAATTTGTGATTCAGCAAGGTTAATCTTGCTTAGCTTCTAAGGTTAGACAAGGTCAACCAACAATTGCCATCTCCTCAGGAAGATTGTAAGAAGTTGCTGTTATATCTGCTAATTTGTGCGCTGCTATACACACTGTTCTGCAGAACAAAACGAGTTGCATTTGAAATGTTCTAATATTTGTTTCAGCAATAGATATGACCTATTTTCATATATGCTAGGAAGGAGCTATATATTCGCTGTAGTTCCTTGGGTATCCATGAAAATTGTAGTATAGGTTACCAGTTTGTTCATATAAAATGGTTCTATTAAAGCAGTTACTTCCAAATTTTATTCAAGATGTGTGGACTTCAACTCCCAGAATACCCCAACTAGCATTGCTGGCTGGAGTATTCTGGGAGTAGAAGTTCAGGCATCTTAAAATGAACAAGGTTGGGAAACATTGTTTTAAAACAGAGCTGTTAAACTCAAGGCCCGTGGGCCAAATCCAGCCTGCTGGGTGCTTAGATCTGGCCCCACCGGGAAACCCTGGAAATAGCGAAGGACCGGCCTACGGTGCCTCTTCCAGTGAAAACAGAGCGCTTAGGCTCCATTTTTGGCTGCAATGGCCTCCTGCGGCCCTCTACCAACAAAAACGGAGCCATACATGCCCCCCGCCAAGCTCCTTTTTTGCTGGAAGAGGGCTGCAGGAGGCTGTCGCTGCCAAAAACTGAGCCTTGACAAGTGACGTTGAGCTGGCCATGCCCCCCGACCATGCCCCCCCCCAGGTCAAACAGAACCTTGATACAGCCCTCAATGAAATCGAGTTTGACACCCCTGTTTTAAAGCAAATCTACAAAGGATTTCATCTTTCACTACTTGGTCAGTCTTCCTCAATAGGAATTTTCCATTTTTAAAGATCTTTGATCAGCCGTAGGGATGTTCTTTTTTTTTTTTTTTTTTCCCTGTACCCATTTCCTCAAAATTTGAATTGGTTTTACCTGAGACTCACAGGATGGGACAAAGGTAGAACTGAGCAAAACGTGAAGGTTCCAAAAGGAAAATGAACTGAATAAAATGCAATGCAATCCTCACCAGCTTTATGTTTTCTTCACTTCCTGAAATTAAAACCTATATAAAAGCAGTTTTAATTCTGAAAGAAAAGAGAGTGAGATAATTTGCATATTCAGTGCATATTGACTTAATTCAACAGAAATATCCTCATCCCCATTAAAAGGGGATTCATGACCCAGGAGTGTGGGAGGCGAGGAAAAGAATTGATATCAAGATAGAAATGCACCCTTTGGAACACATTTTAATTTAGAGTCCTTTTATGGGGAGGAAATCGTTATCTCATTCAGCCCAGTTTCCTGATTGCAAATTCCTTCTTCAATCCATGTAGGATACGTGTTTACTTAATTAGTAAGTTTACAAAAATAAGCTTCTGAGTCTCCAGGAAGAGTGGAGGCACGCCAAATTGACACAAATACGTTTGACACAAATTCATTTTTAGACCGAACTTTCAGCAGTGATTAAAAGTGGTGGGGGGGGGGGGGGGAATGAAGAGCGCAAATTGCAAATGGCATTTAGCGATGGGTGTGTAGCTATTTTTCCTGTGCAATTTTTACGGCTAGCGAAAGAGCTGTAAATTGCCTCTATTTTTGTCCTTTCCTGTATCCTTTCCTACAAAGCTTCTCCAGCCTTTTGCACGGTTAAATATTGTTTTCAAAACTAGAATAAGTTATCTGTTAAATTTGGTACAGCTTTTAAGATGGTCCCTGATCCATCAAATAACAGGATCGGTAAGATTTTGTCAGCCTGACCTGTAACTGAAAATACCTATCAGTGGTGGCATTTGAGAGCTGGTTTCAAAGTTAAACTGAGTCGTAGGGAACCATATAAAAGAGGGTGTTGTATTTTAACAGGGAAGTTGTCCTAGATATGGTGAACTAATTTTATTGGAGAAATCTTTTCTCTGCTGTATCAGAGGCCAGCTGTATGTGGCACTTTTGCAGAGGTAATTATTTATCACTGAACAAGTGACAAATGAAATATTAGGTACTGAACTATGTTAACCCACCTTATGTTAAATCAGACTGTGGACATGTTGAATACAGTATTTGTTATACTAGCTATTATTAGCTTTTTAGTAACAGACCAGGGCGTTTCTGGATTTCATTGGAAACAGTAGAGATTAAATTAAGGGCATTTTGCTATTGAAACACATAATTTGTCATAGGTTAAAGCAATAAGCTGCAGATCGGCCCCAAAGTGACCATACATAAACCAAGCTTAGCAATCCACGTGATTTATTTTTCTTCCTTTTAGATTATTTACTATTACAAAATATTTAAATTGGGAGCTGGCATGCTGCAGAACAAAGCACCAGCTTGTATTATACTCTTTATTTATAAGAATATCTCTGGATACTACATAGTCCCCATGGGTATGTTTAAAAAATAATTAGTTAGCAGCAGCCTATGATGTTTTGGAAATGTAATCAAACTGTTTAGAAAAAAAAAAAATTAAAGCAGTGAGTCAGATGGCAGAGACTAATTGTACAACCCTGTGATTGTGTGTGCCCATAATAACAGCCATTTTTATGAGAGGCATAGGCTTAGTAGCCCACCGTTTGTTTGTTTTTTTTGAAATGTACCCTCAAAAATGCCAAGCACACTTCAAAAAAGCCTATCCCAAAGCTGTGGTCGTCCCCCACACTTGTGAGCTGTGTTATCACACTGAAAACGTTCTGTAGATTGTTGTAGGAAACACAGCTATATAGTTGTTTCATTCCTATTGGCAGGATCTGGTTTTTTATTTATTTATATTCCAGCTTTATTTTTTGTTTAATAAGCAACTCAAGGCGGCAAACATATCTAATACTCCTTCTTCCTCTTATTTTCCTCACAACAAAAACCCTGTGTGGTAAACTGAAACAGAATAACTGGCTGTCAGTTGGCTTTCAGGCCAAGTCCCAAAGGTGCTTTTTTCAAGAGGCAACTGGAGTTTCTGGTTTTTCTTTGAAGCTATTTCGCTTCTCATCCAAGAAGCTTGTTCAGCTCTGATTGGATGGTGGGGAATGGAATCCAGTCAGAGCTGAAGAAGCTTCTTGGATGAGAAGCGAAATGTCTTCAAAGAAAAACCAGAAAGTCCAGTTGCCTCTTGAAAAAGCACCTTTGGGACAACCATGACCTGAATGACTGAGAATCTCCATAGACTTTCAGGCCAAGATGGAACTAGAATTCACAGTCTCCTGGTTTCCAGCCTGATGGTTTAACCACTAGACCACATGGATATTTTTGGGATGATACATTTTGTTCTTTTTTAAGCATACTATACTTGAAGTTAGATAAACAATGGATGCCTAACCTGGATTCTATAATGATCTGAATGAGGACCATTAAGCAGGTATGAATGCTAACAAAATACAGAACCACCAGACTGTATTTCTTAAATTCAGGATTTAGTCATTTCTATTAGCAAGGATCTTTGTTAGACGCTTTTGATTGCTGTGGTTTTGGATGAAGAAAGCATTAAACTATCTTAAGTGAAGGAGAAAGAAATACAGTAGTACTTTATTTCAATTAAGCAAGTGTGCATATTCCATTGTGCAGCTTGTCTTTTCAGTGATTCTTGCAACATGATTCTTTTTCTAGTTAGGGGGAAAATCCTGGATTTATAGAGCACATTGAAGCACCAACATCTCTGTAATAAATATCAGGAAATAGAATTTTCCACTTTAACAAGGATATTTTGAGAGCTGAACGCGTTCATTTTAAAACAAAATAAAATTAAGGAAAGCTGAAATTCTCAGGGTCTTAGATTTGGAATCCCAGCGTGAAAACCTTACATTTTCTTCCACAACACCATGAAATTACAACAGTACATTAATCGTCGCTGATTTTTCTTGGGCCAATGATGGAATGCTGTCATTGCAAAGTTTTCCGTGCAATTTGTATTTCTGAAATAACTATAATGGTAGATTCTTTTTTAGCCTGGGAAGGAGAACAGAAATATGTAGGTTAATAACATTGCTTTTCAGAAACAGTTCTCATTCGGTTTAAAGCTATGACTGCCTTTATGATATATATTGATGGCAAAATTGCAGAATGAATCCATCAGTCTGTGCAATGGCTTGTACATTTTGGAAACTAGAACTATTCTGTGTTAGTTAGATCCTAATTTTTACACAGTGTCTGTATGAATAAATAAGATAAATGAAGTTGTGTAGGGCAAGAAGATTCCACACCAATTCTAAATAATCTGCCTCTTGGTGGCTTTGATTAAAGGGTTCTGCTTTTTTTTTTTCATTAAGCATTTCCTAAACTGTTTTAACTTCTTGTTTTGCAGATTATTCAAGACAGAATATTTAAGCACATATCCCGTAACAGTTTAATATGGAACAAACATCCCGGGGGGTTGTTTGTACTGCCACAGTATTCATCATATCTGGGAGATTTCCCTTACTATTATGCTAACCTAGGTAAGTAGTTCTCTCTTGAGGAACACACTGCTTGGGAAGAGAAATCTCATTGCTGGGTGATATGCAACTAACAGTGTGAGGCAAATGGAATCTAAGCTGTGTAGTAAGGTGGCCCTCTAAACCAATGTATGAGAACCAAAACTTCTTTATTCTTCTAGGAACAAAATAGGGATTTGGGGAAAAAAAAATAGACCACAAGTCTGCAACCAAGAGCCTTGGTGGTGCAGCGGACTAAGTGCTGTTATGTAGCGCTTAGCTGCCAGCTGCCTGCAATTAGCGCGAGTTAAAATCTCAAATCTCAATCTTGAGTCAAGGTTGACTCAGCCTTCCATCCTTCCGAGGTAGGTAAATTGAGGACCCGGATTGTGGGGGCAATAAACTGACTTTGTAGAAACATCGCTTATGGGGGGCCAAAAGCCCTAATAAGCAGGTATATACAGAAGAATGAAGGCTATTGCTATAAGTGCATTGTAAGCCACCCTGAGTCTTCAGAGGAGGGCTGCATATAAATTGAACTAATAAATAATTGAACTAATAAACCAAAGGTAGTGTCAGTTCTCTGTGGTAGTCCAGACAAAAAGCACCAACCAAGTACTAAGCGTGTGTCTCCAACTTGGCAACTTTAAGACTTGTGGACTTCAACTCCCAGAATTCCTCAGTTGAAGTCCATAAGTTATAGTAATAGAATCTTGCAAATCTGAAAATACTTTTCCCCACCCTTATTTTTACTGTCCCCAAAACCGAGGCTGGTCCTTTCTGATATGTTTTTTCTAGCCCTACCTCTCCTTCAGAGTCAGATTTCTTTTATCAGACTGCTGTCTAGTATGTGGCTCTTCCTCCTATCTCCCAATGTCATTCTCACGTAGTGGTACAGTAGCCATCATTATTTGTCAATAGAATAAGGAAAAATGAAAGGACAGAGAATAGAGTCAAATGTAGAAACTATCCAAATTGAGCAAATAGTTTTGAAAATAAATAAAAGAATCCAGATGTACCTGTCTAGACTTTCTCTGGCACTTTCCGTGATTCCAGCTCTGCCAGAGTTTTTGGGCCCTGAACTGAATCACAGTGCCAGTAAGGAAACATTCTTCTCTTAAGGCTATCAGTCAACCAGACCAAAAATCTTTTAACTCTGACTCCCTCTGAATCCCATCACTTTCAAAGGAAAATTTGATGGTATTAGAGTAACAAAGTACTTAAGAGCCACCATTCCCAACATCCACTGAAATAGTAAATGGAAGATGGATGGCCTATAGATTTTATAAGTAAATAAATATTTATTTACTTGTAAAATTTATAGGCCACCCATCTTATCTCAAGATAACTCTGGATGGGAGATATAAAGAGATTTTTTTTTCTGCTTAATTTTTGGTTTTCTATCTATTTTTTCCCCTTTAAGGAAGAAATGCCTTAAATTCTGGATCATTTTTCTTTGGATGCATATATTAACTTTAAAGATTGAGTTATTTTTTCCTAATTATCTAAATATTCCTTTAAAAGACCTGCTTTATCTTCTCCAGCAATCTTGATTTTATTTTTATATTTAAGTTTTTAAAAAGTTACGATATTGTTGGTTCTATGGTACACAGAGTCACATTCAATGAGATGGATGGCCATATAAATTTATTTAATAAAAATATTTTTTTTAAAAAAATGGGATAATGATAGATTTACCTTCATTTACCTCAGAATATAGTAAAAGGGGTAGATGGTTTTGAATTCAGAGTTGTCTTCTTTTCAGGGAAGTCCATTCTTGTGGAATCAGCTAGCATTTGTCTGCGATTAGTGAACTTGTGTGTTGAGGGTTAAAGTCAACCAAAATATTTTAGGATTTTTAAAATGATTCATTTTAAAATGGTTCATTTTCTCTCATTTTCTTCTCAGGAGTCAAGGCCCCATCCAAATTCACCGCCGTCATCCATGCAGTTACTCCTCTGGTGTCCCAATCTCAACCTGTGTTGAAACTCCTGGTTGCAGTCGCCAAATCCCAGCACTGTGCTCAGGTGAGGAATACGATCAACCTCCTCCTCATTGGCTGAAAATCCAAATTTCACTGGTTGCTCTAGGTTTGTCTGGCGTCTTCCAATTTATCTTCACCCACACTGGCAAAGCTTCTTATATGTTAGTCTAGTATTGGCGAACCTTTTTGGCACCATGTGCCAAAAGGGGGGGTGCATACGCGTGCCAGAAACCAGAAGAGCAGCTGCCTGGTGCACATGCACGTGCCGGGAAGATGATCTTCCAGTTTCCGGCACACACATGTGCACTGGCCACCTGGTCTTCTGGTTTCTGGCACACCTGTGCGCACTAAGATCAACTGGCCGGTGCCCATCCACATGCCGGAAACCGGAAGAGTAGCTGCCTGGTACGCTTGTGCGCGCTGGGAAGATGATCTTCCAGTTTCCAGCACACGTATGCACACCAGGGCAGCTGTTCTTCTGGTTTCTGGCGCTTCTGCGCGTTTGAGCACCAGCTGGCCAGCGCGCCAGAACCCGGAAGAGCAACGGGAGGTGGCTCATATGCCTGGAGAAATGGCTCTGCGTGCCACAGGTTTGCCATCATGGTGTTAGTCCATAAAGATGACGGAACTTGCAAAGAAGGCTAAGTTAACTTCTTTGATTAGAGAAAAAAACAGTGTCATCATGTATGATTGACTGGAAACCACTTATAGACTTTTTGCATCAAATTGAAAAAATATGCACTTATGATTTATGTTTTTACTGATTAGAAAAAGACTGGATAATACCATGTTTTCCCCAAAATAAGACCTAACCGGAAAATAAGTCCTAATGTGTTTTTTGGAGCAAAAATTAATATAAGACCCAATCTTATTTTCGGGGGAAACACGGTAAAAAAACTTTTGTAATCAAGGAATAAGAGATAACTTTGTAATTGCGCTTAATATTTGCTGCAAAAGAAATCAGAAGCTTCTATTTCTTTTTATTCTTTCTTTCTGCACTTTTCCTTTTTCCTTCCTTTTTTCTTTTCTTTTTTTTCTGCTTTTACTTTTTATTAGTTTGTGTTGGTTTTGATGTTCTTGGTAATTTTTTTGGTGAAGATTTATTTTAAAAAATGAATAAATGCATTAAAGGAGCAATGAGTGGCCCAGGATCTACATGGCATGTGAAACCTCCCAGCACCCATTTCACTTCTCATTAAGAAGAAACAAAATATTCAGCCAGGTTTTTTTGCATTGGGGTTCCTTTGATTAAGGGCTCCATGTTCCCCCTGTGGTGAGTTTCAAAAGGTAAAAAATAAATGCCTCAAATCTCTTTTAAGATTTAAAATGCAACCACTCCCTAAAGAAGCACCACCAACATTTTGGACTCATTCATTTTGGGGATGCAATTACATCATCAGCCACCCCTTGAGTATCCTTCAGAAGCCCCCAGCCCTCAAGCGTGATCCTTACACCCTGTACGTAGCCAAAGAAGACATTGTAAATTGTAAACTGAATTACATAGCAGCATATGCCTTACACTGAGTTGTACGTTTGGTATTGTCTATTACTGAATATCAGATTTTATGCTGTTTTCCACTCGCCCCTCTACCCTCACTAGAAGATGCTAGAACAAAATTTACCAAAATGAAAAATGTTTATTCAGGATCTTCTTTTTCATTTATGTAGGCATTTATGTGAGCAGGGGGTTGGACTAGAAAACCTCCAAGGTCCCTTCCAGCTCTATTCTATTCTAAGAGCACTCCTTGGGAAAAAAATGGAATTAAAGCTTGTTTACAACAGGACTAAACTTAACTATCCTAGGTGGATAAACTTGGTCACTTCTCCTGTTAGAGTGGGTTTATTAACAGGCTAGATGATACAGGAGAAAAGAAGTTCGGCAATCTGTTTAAATCACGCCAATTAACAAGATTTGCATAATTGCTCTGAGACTAATTCTGCCTCTTAGCATTTCTGCACAGTATACAGTTTTTACTGGTCTTTGAAAGGTCTGAAAAACTGTGAGAAACACTGAATTTCGCAACGTAATCCAACAAACTTTTTCCGTTGTTCCTCCTCCATGTTGAGTTTTTAATCAGGAGGACTAGTAACTCGCACAGATTGCCAGGAAGCCAAGTTCAATTCCTATAATTCCGCCTTCTGCCACTGACAGCCTCCCACCAGCCAATATGCTGCCACAGAGAGGGGCTCCTCAGGGTGCCGTCGGCCAAACAATGCCGACTGGCGACACCGAGGGGGAGAGCCTTCTCTGTGGGGGCACCAGCCCTCTGGAATGAGCTGCCCCTAGAGGTTCGTATGATCCCCGACCCGCATACCTTTCGCCGCGCCCTGAAGACCCTTTTGTTCCAACAAGCCGGGCTGGCCTAATATGAATTTAATAATGGGTGTAGGTTAGTTTTTTAATTTTGTGGGCCAAATTTTTATATATTTGGTTTTAAATTGTTTTTAAATTTTGTAAATCTATATGTGTTTTAATATGGCTGTACACCGCCTGAGTCCTTCGGGAGAAGTCCAATAAATCTAATCTAATCTAATCTAATCTAATCTATAAGACATTCTACATTTGTTCCTGGAGAATTGGGGCAAATAGGCCACCCTGATCTTTCCAAAAGCTGAATTCTGCATTCGGTAACACAACACAAACTCCCATAAAGACTGAACACCACCGATGAGGTGGTAGAGCACCCTGCTTTGATGTCAAGCTGTAAACACTTTGTCTCTTATCTTTTGTCCAAGACATTTTCAGATGCCGCATAAATTGTCTTTTGAATGCAGCCAATCCAACTGGGATGGTTTTCTCATTGTTAGTCAGCAAAAGGAAACAACAACAACAACAAAAGTTAATTAGCCTCCCTTCTGTAGCTAGGAATTAAATCTCATCGGGGGACTTTTTCTCTTTTCATTTGTTTCTGTTTGTGAAGTTCTAGACCAGTGATGGCTAACCTTTTCTGGGCTGAGTGCCCAAAGCGTGTGTGTGTAATGCGCGTGCCTGAACCCCCAAAATGCAATGTGCCCCCCACGCATGCATCCCGCCCCCCCACATGCATGTGCCCCCCCTGCACATGCGCAGCAGAGACCCGAAGACCAGCTGGCCGGCGGGAGGCGCCCGACTGAGGCAATGGCCCGCATGCCCAGAGAGAGGGCGCTGCGTGTCACCTCTGGCACATGTGCCATAGGTTCGCCATCACAGTTCTAGACTGAAGTGCAGAGCAGTTAGCTGAGATAGCCCTTGAGCCTCTGTGGGCTGTGATCTCTGCAAGCATTTTCCTAATGGAAATCCTTTTTGCTTTTCAGATCATTGTCTTATGGAATTGTGATAAGCCCCTCCCTGCCAAGCATCGCTGGCCTGCCACTGCTGTGCCTGTCATTGTTATCGAAGGAGAAAGCAAGGTACGTTGTCATTGTTGTGGTTACTGGTGTTTGCTTTTTTTATTACAGCCGCATGCCATAATTCCTCCAGGCGCTTAAAGCGGCCTCTCTGGTTCTGCTTACCTTCTTAAATGCATCATTCCTGCAGACTGAGGCAGGATAGATTGCATTGATAATGCTGGGCTCCCAATTTATTTTTTTTATTGGGACTGGCTTCCAAGTCGACCTGTCTCTTACATATATATTTTCAAGGTCAGTGAGCCTCGGAAATATATAAGAGATTTACAAACACAGCTAGTTCTCGATTTACAACCAGAATTTCTGTCGGTAAGCAAGTCAGTTGTTAAAGTGAGTGGTGCCTGATTTTGCAACCTTTTTTGCAATGGTTTTTGAAGTGAATCTCACAGTTGTTAACTGTTAATCTGGCTTGCCCGTAACCTTTCCTTGTCAGAAGCCTGCTGGGAAGGTCACAAATGACAATCACATGACCCTGAGACATTGCAAGTGTCGTAAAATCACGCCTGAATTTTGATCACATGACCGCGGGCATGCTGCAATGGTCATAAGTAAGAGGACCCAGCCATAAATCACTTTCTTCAGTGCCATTGTAACTTTGGCTGTTGACTGAATGGTTGTAAGTTGAGCACTACCTGTATACCAGAGTATCAATTGATGGGAATTGATGTGGCCTAGTAGATTTGACATGAGAAGAGAAAAATAGATGAAAAATCTCCTGCTGGCTATAATAATACAGGGGTGTCAAACTCGATTTAATTGAGGGCCGCATCAGGGTTGTGTTTGACTTTGGGGGGGCAGGGTGTGTGTGGCCAGGGTGGGCGTGGCCAGCTCGACATCACTTGTCAAGGTTCTGTTTTTGGCTGTGACGGCCTCCTGCAGCCCTCTGCCAGTAAAAATGGAGGTTGGGGAGGCCACGCGTGGCCCAACCAGGCTCCGTTTTTAGCTGTGACGGCCTCCTGCAGCCCTCTGCCAGTGAAAACAGAGCTCCCCAAGCTTTATTTTTGCTGGCAGAGGGCTACAGGAGGCTGTCACAGCCAAAAACGGAGCCCGGGCCCAAGCTCCATTTTGCTGGTAGAGGCACCGCGAACCAGTCCTTCTTTGTTTCCAGGGTGATCCCACGGGCCAGATCTAAGCACCCCATGGCCGGATCTGGCCCTCAGGCCTTTAGTTTGACACCCCTGCTATAATAAGTTATTGCTATACAACTGGCTTGTATTTTATACCTGACTTTGCATTCAAGCAAGTTTATAATATAATGATAGGATACAATTAGAGATACACTGGGATATCACGTTGGGTCTCCATAATATTAAACTAGAGCTTTTAGCAGCCAAATCCAGCAAGGATAGCAACAACAGATGCTGGGAGTTCTAGCCCAGCTACATCTCAATCCTCAAGAAGAGTTTTGACATAAAGTGAGGTACGAACACCTATCCTTTCTGAAAATAGTAGCAGGGTATCAGGTCTATTATAACAGTGAAGTACTTGTACAACATACTTCAAGGAGGTTGCTGATTGTACAGTTTCCTGCAATTTCATGGATCTTTATTGAATTAGGTGTCCCAATTGGGGGGGGGGGGAACTGAAGCTCCCAGGTATTTCTCATCCATCTAAAAAGAATGGAGGCAATATCTGTGCTTTTCTCCAATTCACTAAATGAATCCACTAAGGTGGCAGCTAAATCTGTTGACTCAGATCTCAGGATAGCTTGATATTCACTGCAGGGCCTGAGGGAGAGAAGGCTTCAGTTTGAGGCTGCCCTCTTTGGTGGCCTTGATTGCTTCCTTCTGCCTCCCTCCATTTTTGTTATGTTGTTTTATGTATTGGGGGGGCCCAAGGAAAGAATAGATCTTACGAATTTCAAAAAGGCAGGCAAGCAATAGTCTTGGAGCTTTTTAGAGACTACAAAGAAATCTGGAAGTGTCATCAAGGATCGCATTTCTCCTTCTGCACAGCAAATGCCCACATGGGGGGAAAAATATGTTTAGAATGCCAAATTGGCTTTTTTTTTTTTTTTTACAGCGTAAACTAACTTGCTCAAGCACAACTATTTTGTCAAGTCTGGCTCCTTTCCGACATGCAGGATTATAGCCCCCTTTTGCTTTGCTGCTGAGAATTAGCCAGGATTTTAATCAATCAAAAAACCCCAGGGTGGCAAAAATTGTTACAAAAGATGCATTAAATGTTTTCAGCCTTAAGGCCATCCTCCCCCCCCCCCCCCCCCCCCGCCCCCCGGGTCAGGAAGCTGATTGTACTTGTTCACCTCTTGGGTTCATGTCTGAATGGTTGGACCTCATTATTAGTTATTATTAGTTTTTATCCGTGGCTGTCAGACTCCTGAATGAGAAATAACATCATAACTACATAGTATGATGGACTGCAGGGCCGGCGCAATGTGTAACATGTTCACACTGGTGCAATAGGACTGGGTGTTTTGTTAATATGATTTATTGGGATTTATTGGGTCAGGGATTTTTTATCTTCACTGTGAGTTGTATTGTGCACCGAGGGAGCTCAACCAATCTCATTATACATATGTTGTGCACTGACAATAAAGATTTGAATTGAATTGAATTGAATTGAATTGATTAGAACTCCATGGTAGATTCCTTGTCTTTCAATACTTCATTTTTATAAAAACAAAAGTAAATAAACAACAAAAACAGGCCTACCTAATATAAATGTTTCCAGCTGACAAAAGAGAAAGATTTATTTTTTAAAAAAATATACAGATACTGCTGCAATTTTTCTTCTAGTAGTACGAAGATCTAATGAGAAAAGTTAGTTGGCAAATCAGTAAAGAGGATTTGGGGGTGACAGAAAGCAGCAAATCTGAACAAAAACAAAAATCCAAACTTGTCTCATCGTTCTTCAGTGTTGATTAGATCATAGTCAGGGATGGGTTCTACTTACCTTTATTACCGGTTCACAATGGGATCGTTTCTGGGTATGAGCAGATCACTTCTGATGATGTCAGGGTCAGTGGGCGGAGCCTCCCGCCATTTTTACTACCAGTTCTATAGAACCGATCCGAACCGGGGGCAACCCACCACTGATCATAGTCTAATCAGCTTTCACACTTCTATCAAATGTTGTGCTGTAATTCTCAGAAAAATGTTCCTCCAAATAAGTTTAGAAATACAGATTTTGGGATTCTGAGTTTTCACATCAGTGTGGAAATGAGATGAGCTACATCTAGAAATGGCATGCAGCAGAAACAGATTGAATTGTCTACCTGTAATAAATTAATGTATAGTCACTTGGAGAAGCCAGAGTGTCTCAAGGGAACCCGACAATATTATTATATCACCTACTGCTCACAAATTGATGTCATAGTGGCTTCAAAAGATTAATGCAAAATCCTACATAGACATTGTATTGTCTTAGGAGCATTGTAACTTAAAATTTACACTCTTGTTCGTCGTTTCTTGTTTTCAATGATAGCTAGTTTATAGATTTTGAAAGCCAACCAGTGAAGTATATTGGTTAGAGCATTAGGCATTGCTTGGGAGGTATAAGTTAAAATCTTCACTCAGCTATAAATTTTAGCCCGAGGCATTGCGTTAGTCGCTATCATTTAACCCTAGCCTACCTCATCAGATTTTGATGAAGATAAAGTAAGAAGGAATTCTAAATGCTACTTTAAGCTTTTGAGAAGCATATATACTCTAAATATAGCTATGACTTATTGCCTTTTAATTATATAAAAATGGTTGGTTGGTTTCCAAAAAATCAAACCAGAGCATTATGCATGACAACATTTGGGGTAAGGGAATAATGTGAACACATAAATCTAAAAGGCCACTCTTGCTGAAATTAATCAGGAGTAACATAATCACATTGTTAAGTCGGATGCAATAAGCTGCAAAGTTCTTGCACATGAAGCTCTTTTCTTTCACAGCCATTTCCTCCCCTTGAATGCTGTGGTAGAAGGTTAACTGTTGGCTGTTCACCGCCCTGAGTCCCTTGGGAGAAGGGCGGTATACAAATATAATAAACTAACTAACTAACTAACTCTTTGGGCTCAAGTATGGCGGTCCGGCCTGCAGATGAGCCTCAATAGCATCTCACTGACCCATCTTGTTCACCTTACAGGTGATGAGCAGTCGCTTCCTGCCCTATGAGAACATTGTCACGGATGCTGTTCTAAGCCTCGATGAAGATACGGTGCTTTCAACCACTGAGGTGAGATATTTTTCCTGTGGAGTGTACTGGCTCCAAAGTCATACTAGGATTTGACTTCCTTCCTTCCTTCCTTCCATCCATCCATCCATCCATCCATCCATCCATCCATCCAAGCTTTGGCCAAGTTTACTAGGAAAAGTGAGTGATACCTTCTTAGTTGAGGTTTATGAACATTTGCTTAATGTTCCCAGAGAAGCTCTCATGGTTGCAACTTCTGCAGCTCTCTTAGCTTCAAGGTAACCATGTTACTTCATGGAGCAGCTCTAAGAAAGTGCTTCCAAAGATTTGAACAGCTCTGTATCTGTTTTAACTAAGAGTAAGCAATAGCAATAGCACTTAGACTTATATACTGCTTCACAGGGCTTTACAATCTGGGTCCTCATTTTACTGACTTCGGAAGGATAGAAGGCTGAGTCAGCCTTGAGCCAGTGAGACTCGAATTGATGAATTGCTGGCAGCCAGCAGCCAGCAGAATTAGCCGGCAATACTGCATTCTAACCACTGCACCATCATGGCCCAGTTGGAAACCTAATTCCGTGTCCATCTGGAATTCTCTAAGTTTCATCTCAGCAATGCTTCTTGGTCTATTAGGAAAGAAAGAAGATTGAATGTCTTGTTGGGCTAAATGGCAAATATAACATACAGATAAATATGGATATATACCCAAGTATTCACAAGTACTAATAACCCTAACCCTAACATACACCAGTGTAGGTTTATGTACACTTGTAAATACTTGGGTATCTACATCTAATTTTTGTATTAATTCCTATTATATTCTGGTTTTTAAGAGCTGCATTGGCCTGATAATTTCTTTTGAATAGCAGCACACACAAAGCAGATGCCTAGATTACATGTCTCTCTTTCATGAATCAGAGCTTCACCCAAGCTCTTTTTTTTTTCCAATACAAGAATTTTCTTTCTGCCTGATACTTCAGAACTGCTGCACCAAAAACAGAAGGAAAAAAGGCTGCTGGGTTAAAGAGATGGGGGCAGGGAGCTGGAGATCAGGGGATCCAATGTAGAAAACCAATTTTTACAAGTGGGATGAGTATTGATTTCTCTCACCTCTTCCCGTAAAGAGATGGTGGGGACGGGCAACCATTTATACAACATGGCAATATATTGGAAATACATTATTAATGGCATCTCTGGAAAAGCTTTGAGTGTTTATTGTCTCCTTCAATTTCAGTGTGATTTTCCCTCTCTGTGTGTCTCTCTTACTTCTCCCTCCCTTAAAGAAAAGCAAGTTGTCCTTTAGAATTTATTACTTTGGAAATAGCACATGGAGTCTTCTTCGAAGACCCAAGACTTTTAAGACCCAAAAGACCCAGTTGGGTCTAGACGGTTAAGGCATTAGGCTAAAAACCAGGCGATTGTAAATTCTAGTCCCACTTTAGGCATGAAAGCTAGCTGGGTGACTTTGGGTCAGTCGCTCTCTATCAGCCCAATAGGATTATTGTTGTAGGGAAAATAGAGAAAAAAAGGAGTATTAGATATGTTCGCAGCCTTAAGATGTTTATAAAAACATAATGAAAGCGAAATACAAATAAATAAATAAAAATAAACCCCATTCAGTATTTCTGGAATCCTGTTATATCTGGATTTTTTTAATATGTTTATTAACTTGAATGTACATGATCTTGCAAATGGTTAGAGGATGGGACTATGTGTGTAGCTATGTCTCTTCTCACAACTTCTGTTGAAAGTCCATGTTTGCTTATCACAACTGTATTTCTCTGCTATCAGAAACAGAATTAAAAATAAAATACAGAATTACTGTAATTCAGTGCTTGGTTCAGAAGTCTCTGTACCTGTCCCAAAATATCTCTCTACCACCCGGATCATAACAGAGTTTTGTCCAAACCAGTATCTTATTTCCCACATGGATCAACCAACACTTGTGAAACTGGAAATTCTATGTAGATTTTAATTTGACATTCTTGTTTTCTAGTAATGGGCTAACCCTTAAATTATGCCAAACCTTAGCCGGGTTAAATTCTAATTTATTTTTTATCTCATGCAGTGTATCTGAATCACTTTATACAACCATCTCTTCTTCTTCTTCTTCTTCTTTTTTTTGCATTTGGTTTAGTTTTATTATTGTACAAATGTAAGAGATCAAAAATACAGACATAAAATGTAAGACTATAGTATAATAAAAATACATTGTAAAAAGAATGTGTTTTTTTCCCAACCATTCTGCTAGTTAGATATACCTTAAAGGTTTACAGTTATTGCTTATATCTATTAAAGTCATTTTTCAGCTGTTGTTTTTTTTTTTAATAAATTTCTCTCATTTTCTCAAAGCCATATTCTGAATGTGTCAACTTCCCATGCTGTGTAATATGTTGTATGAAAGGGACCAATGCTTTCTTGGATTTAGTTTGACTTCTGTTATGTATCCATTGGTGTATATTGTCCCATTTTGGTCTGTAAATCTTGTATCAACGGCAAGATTTCTCTCTTTTTTTTAACAATACCATCTAAGCTAGTGACCAATACTACAGTCTGCAAATTTCACACAGGATCATTAGTAAGGAAACCTGGTTTAAATTATCCTCTCCAATCTTATGTCCTATGGAAGTTTGTTTAGTTGAAGCTCCCAGAATTCCTGGTGAATCTGAATAACAAATTACGGGAGTTATCACCCCAAGATGTCTTCTACTACTTACCTATCCATCTAAATAGTAATTTTCCAGCTTTCAAATATGAGTGATAAAACTCAGAAAAGCCTCAAATGCTTCTTCATTTTTTTACCTTTAATTAAGGTTTTAGCTTTTCACTCCTAATGAAATGAAATATTAAGCCATCCTGCACAGTGGGGGGAAACGTCTCTATGACTCATAATTAGAAATCCATGTGGATTTAAGGAGGAGTGTTGGCTGTCTTAAGAGAGTAGCAGGTTGGCTAACTTTCTCATCCACCCCCACCCTCCAACCCAATTACTCCATTATTGGTTCTCTACATCAGCCTCAATGAAAAATGGTTAAAGCAAAATTAGGAAAGTTGTATGTGGCATTAAAGATTCACTTAACATCTATAGCCGGGGTCTCCAAACTTGGCAACTTTAAGACTTGTGGACTTCAGGGCATCTTCCATGGCTCCTGTAGTTATTCGTAGCTTCATGGTAGAACATAGGGATAAGCCACGGTGGCGCAGTAATTAGAGTGCAGTACTGCAGGCTACTTCTTCTGATCACTGGTTGCCAGCAGTTTGGCGGATCTAATCTCACCAGGCTCAAGGTTGACTCAGCCTTCCATCCTTCCGAGGTGGGTAAAATGAGGACCCAGATTGTTGGGGGCTATATGCTGACTCTGTAAACCGCTTAGAGAGGGCTGTAAAGCACTATGAAGCGGTATATAAGTCTAAGTGCTATTGCTATTGCTAATGCAGAAGATTCCAGATTCAAACTTTCAACATGTCCAGTTGAAAGACTCAGGAGCAAGTGATGGATAGACCTTTGCTGGAGGTTCTGGAAGACTAGTAAAGACCAATTTCTTTTCTTACCTCTTCTATGGAAGAAACACCCCATGCAATAAATTAGGCTGGAACAGAATTTGATGTCGACAAGGGTTTGCAACTGGATTCCCATTTCCCCATTACATTTCATCTGTCTAATGATATTGCCATATGCCAGCCTGAAAAATTTCTAGCATACTTTCTAGAGTTGTGTCTAGTTGGGTTGTGGTGATTCAAAAGTAGTCGTAATTTGTTCCTTGGCATTCCTTGTTTTGTTTTTTTTAAAATCTTTGATTCATTGTTGACTCCTGGTGATTGCCTGGAGCAGTTTTCCTGGCAAGGCGGTGTGTTTTTTTTTTCAGAAGTGGTTTGCCATTGTCGCTTCCTAGGGCTGAGAGAAGGTGACTGGCCCAAAGCTATTCAACTGACTTGATGCCTAAGGCAGGCTAGAATTCAGTTTTTCGTTTTCTTAAGTGCCTTATCCAAACTGGCTCTTGTTCATTTAAAACAAATGGGAAGCTGGGCTATTACAAAGCATAGCACCAACTTCTAACATCAAGCTTATGGGAAGAAAATGGCGCATATGTCCAGTACTTTGTTTGGAAGTGCACTCATCTGCCCCAAAATTAGTAAAAAGTAACCTTAATGAAGTAAAGAACTTTTGAGGAAGCTAGATGAGATGGTGTGAAACACCATTGAAAGTCAGACTACCGTTAAATGGATTTTGTTTGACTTGCCATGCCCACAATGGCAGCCATTTTGTGAATTTGTGAAGATTTCTCTGACTCAAAAAGTTGCCTGAAACCACCAGGAAAATAGATATTACCGGTAGTCCTCGACTTACGAACATAGTTGACCCCCAAATTTTTGTTGCTCAGTGAGACCGATGTTAAGTGAATTTTGCCCCATTTTACAACCTTTCTTGCCACCGTTGTTAAGGGAATCACTGGAGTTGTTAGGTTAGTAACACAATTGTTAAATGAATCTGGCTTCTCCATTGACTTTGCTTATCAGAAGGTTGCAAAATGTGATCACATGACCCCAGGACACTGCAACCATCATAAATATGAACTAGTTGCCAAGCATCCAAATTCTGATCATGTCACCACGAGGATGCTGCAACGGTCATAAGTGTGAAAAAGGTCATAAGTCACTTTTTTTCAGTGCCATTGTAACTTCAAACAGTCTCGAAGACTACCTGTACAGTAAACATTAACCAGAATTTTAATGATGAATTGCTGGTTTATGATCATTTTATTGAGAATCTGTATGCCCCCCTCCCCCTCTAGAACCCGAACAATGGAGAAAAGAGTATTTATAAATGTACCAATTAAAGTCACAAGAACAATTTTTCATTTATTATGATGAAGTCCTCACAACCCCCAGTAGGATCCTTTATCTATATCTAACACTACTGTTCCTTCCTTAACTTAGCTTTAATCCTTTCAAGAAAACAGATATCGGCTTTTATATAAAGGTGTCTGCTGATTTTCTGATGTATTAATAATTTGTGATCAGAGCTGTGGCAGGAATAATTGTTTTGTCTGAACTGTAAGCATTTCATGTTGTTTGAACAACTTGAAGGAAGAGAATGAGTCGTAACTTAACTGGAAATATCCTTCAAAGATCTGAATCTTTATGGAAGAGATGCTTTGAACCTCTAGTATCACAATAGGGCTGGACTGCATCATGGTATTTATAGTATGGATTGAACTCAAATGTTTGATTCAGTTCAAAAATTCAGTTTGAAGACCTCATTTGCGCTGCTTGAATCTTCAGCTCAAATATTCCCACAGCCGTAGTAGGATATAAAATATTCATTATCTGTCTTACACTAGCTGAAGCCAAGGAGAAAAGATTACAAATAAGGGCGTGAGGAATTAATAATTTTGGAACATCTGTCTTTGGAAAACATCATTTTTATCTTGATTTCCTCCATCCAGTAGTAAAAAGAGACACTTCCTTTCTTCCCTACAAAATGGACAGAGAATAACCTTACTTAATAAAGAAGCAATTCCTACAGACACCCAGTTCTCCACTAGTTGTGAATGTTTACGGTGCCTGTGTCATGCTGGCAAAATGTTAATATGATTCTCTGGAGCTCTAGGCTCCTGTTAACGGAAAAACATTAAAATGTGCATAATTACAGGGCAAAATGTCAAGTAGTCAGTTTAATTTACTGATGAATACAGAGAATTAATGTTTTGCAACAGTTCCAAGATTGCAAATTATGAATTAGCGAAAAGGTAATATTTTGTTTTGCTGACATTTTTGAGACTGATTACCACTTGCCACATCCATTTGGTTTGTGTTGTGTTTTTTTTTTCCCCTTGCCTGCAGGTGGATTTTGCCTTCACTGTCTGGCAGAGTTTCCCAGAGAGGATTGTGGGTTATCCTGCCCGCAGCCACTTTTGGGATAACACGAAGGAGAGGTGGGGCTACACATCGAAATGGACTAATGACTATTCCATGGTATTGAGTGGAGCTGCTATTTACCACAAGTAAGAAGACTATTATGGGTATTTAAAGCCTATTTTAATGGACGAGAGGAATAGGATAGGACAGGACAGGACAGGATCTTGGAGGTCATTGAGTCCTGCCCACTGTTCAAGCAGGAGAACCTATACCAGTGATGGCGAACCTTTTCGGCACCAAGTGTCCAAACCAGAATGCGCAGTTAAGCGCCAGAAACCCGAAGACCAGCTGGCCGGTGCACATGCATGTGCTGGCTAGCTGGTTTTCGCAGGCACCGGAAACCCAAGGAGCAAGTGGCTGGCGTGCACACGTGCACCAGTCAGCTGGTCTTCAGGTTTCCGGTGCTCCGGTGCATGCAAAGACCACCTATCTGGCGTGCATGCGCTCGCCAGAAACCACAAAAGCAGCTGGCAATGGTGCATATGCCCACAGAAAGGGCTCTGCGAGCCACCTCTGACACATGTGCCATAAGTTGGCCATCACGGACCTAAACCATTTCAGAGAAGTGATTATCTAGTCTCTTCTTAAAAAACTCCAGTGATAGAGCACCCACGATTTCTGAAGTCAAATTGTTCCACTGGTTAATTGTCCTCACTGTTAAGAAGTTTTCCTTAATTCCAGATTGCTTCTCTCTTTGATTAGTTTCCAACCATAGTTTCTTGTCCTGCCCTCCGGTGCATTGGAGAATAAAGCTCAGCTATATTATTATATTTATCTAGATAAATTAAATTGACAACCCTGTTCTGCCCTCTTCTATCATTTTATTCCCCCTGATGTAGATGTCCAAAGGAGAGTATTTATTTACTGGAAAAAAAATTCTTTTGTCCATCTATTCTATATTGAGTTAAATCATAGACACACAACGATCCCGGGTTATATCTTACTATATATATTTTTTTCCATTTTGCCTTTGCCTCCCTTAATTTTTGGTTTTGCAGAGCAGGTTTTGTTAAAACATCAAGGGTGATTCCTAAAGGATTAAAGTTTGAGCCTCTCTTCTGCAGATAATGACTTTGATTTCTGGTTTCAAGATCTGATAGTCATTAGTGTGTTTTTCTCAATTTCTTTCAAGTCACTTGTACTCTAAAAAAAGCAATTTGATTTGAATGCTCTCTCTTAAGGGCAACAGCAGACTTCAAAAAAAAAAAAAAAGTTCCTAAAGTCTTCAAAAGGATTCTGCCCAAATTTTCTTTGGGAGAATGAACATGTCCTAAGCAAGTTGAGGTTTAGGTTGGCTGCCCATCTTAATTCAGCCAAATTGGACATTGGCATAATGTTTATAATTCATCTCGGTTTGTGAGTCTTATGTTTGCTTGTTGGGCTCATAAGGGAGAGGACAGCAAAGAAAGGCCTCTGTCTTTTTCTGTAGACGTTGTGGTTTTTTTCCCTCTGAAAAATGAAAATGTATCACTGCGAAGGAATGGCCATCTGGTTTCCTTGGGGCCGTGATGGCGAATCTATGGCACACATGGCCAAAGTGGCACGAGAAGCCATGTCGCCCGGCATGCGCGACCTTGCCTGTTGTCTTCCGGGTTTTTGGCATGCATACACGCGCAACAATCAGCTGTCTTTTGTGCGTGCGGCAGTGCCGAAAACCAGTGTGCACCAGAACAAAAAAGTTTGGCTTTTCCGGAGCGCAATCCATTTGCGTGTATGGCAGTGCTGAAAACAAGCCTGCGCATGCGCTCTGGCCACCTGATCATCGGGTGTGCATGCGTGCTAGAACCCAGAAGTTTGGCTTTTCCAAAGAGCGGCCCTAATGAGCACGTGCACGCGTGCGATGTTTCCGCGGAGTGGTGAAAAAGTTCGCCATCGGGTGATGCACCTGCCTTAGGGTGATGATCAAACAGTCCTGTTCTGACTAATCAAAAAGTTTAACTGACCTCAATGCCTTCCACAATCCACCAACATTCCAACTCTTCAGATTTCTTACAATGACTGGTGGATTTCCAGAAACAGCTAAATAAGGTTTGTTGTTGTTGTTAATTGCAAAGTCGTGTCTGACCCATCGCGACCCCGTGGACAACTTTCCTCCAGGCCTTTCTGTCCTCTACCATCCTCTGGAGTCCATTTAAATCTACTGCTTCAGTGACTTCATCCAACCACCTCGTTCTCTGTCGTCCCCTTCTTCTTTTGCCCTCAAGCTTTCCCAGCATTAGGCTCTTCTCCAGTGAGTCCTTCCTTCTTTCTCATTAGGTGGCCAAAGTATTTGAGTTTCATCTTCAGGATCTGGCCTTCTAAAGAGCAGTCAGGGTTGATCTCCTCTAGGACTGACCGGTTTGATTGCCTTGCAGTCCAAGGGACTTGCAGGAGTCTTTTCCAGCAAAAGACATAAAGTAAATTTGTGTAGATGTACTTTATTTACATAAAGATCAGAGGTGGTATTCAGCAGGTTCTGACCAGTTCTGGAGAACCGGTAGCGGAAATTTTGAGTAATTCAAAGAATCGATAAATACTACCTCTGGCTGGCCCCGTCCCCATTATTCTCTGCCTCCTGAGTCCCAGCTGATCAGGAGGAAATGGGGATTTTGCAGTATCCTTCCCCTCGTGGGGGGTGGGAATGGAGATTTTACAGTATCCTTCCCCTGCCACACCCACCAAGTCACGCCCATCAAGCCACGCCATGCCCAAAGAACCGGAAATAGAACAATTTGAATCCCACCACCGATAAAGATGAATAAATCGCCTTTGCCCCACTAAGTCAATACATCTTGTTTCTCAGGTTTTTCAAGAATTTTTGAATTCTGGACTTCCCTTGTTATCAGAAACTGATACCATCAATAATTCATTTTTAGATACTTTGTTTCAGCCAAGTGAATACTGACTTAGTACCAAAGCTCCTGCCATCTCCAACCAGGCTGGTATGGTCTGGAGTAAGCAGATCATTGCTCATTTGTGCAACATCTATCCCGGGGTGAAATCCAGCAGGTTCTGACAGGTTCTGGAGAACCGGTAGCAGAAATTTTGAGTAGTTCGGAAAATACTGGCAAATATCACCTCTGGTTGGCCCCAGAGTGGGGTGGGAATGGAGATTTTGCAATATCCTTCCCCCAGGAATGAGGAGATTTTTCAGTATCCTTCCCCCGGAGTGGGGTGGGAATGGAAATTTTGCAATATCCTTCCCCTGCCACGCCCACCAAACCACGCCCACAGAACCAGTAGTAAAAAAAATTGGATTTCACCACTGGTCTTTCCTCTTTCTCCATTTGAACTCCTTCCTCTCTATTTGAGGGTTATAGGTTGCCCATTTCTGTTTTAGAGACTTCTTCTTTGGACCATTCCCTAGTTTGTGGAATGGCTCTCCAACCTCTTTTGAGCTGGTGGACACATATGGCATTATAAGAACATCTCATAGACACTCCAACAAATGGCTCCTTGGCCATTTCAAAATGGGCATGGGAGACTGAATAATATGTAAAGTATGGATATACCTGCTATATGGTACCCATCCTGAGTTGCTGCATCCTCAAGATGCTCCTTTCTAACCCGACATGCCCTTATCTTCGGCGGAGGCAGATGAAAACATGCAAATCCATGACCTAGTCTCCAGACATTCCCCGTGTTTATTTTATAAAAGACAGCAGAGACCCATTTTAAGACCCAGTGGCACTCTTGGAAATACTGATTATGCTGGAGGGTAATTGCTTTGCTTTGCATCATGCCCCCTTTTCGTTAACTTTAATTAAAATATGTAAGAAATGTTAAAAAGTCAAATGGAACAGGGAGTCTAGGAAGTCCCACGGAAGATACCTTCAGGCATTTTGACACTGCTAGGATTATATAAGTACAAATCTTCTGCTTCTAGTTTGAAGGGGGAATCACAACTTAGAATTATAGGGCTGGAAGGGACCTTGGAGGTCTTCTAGTCCAACCCTCTGCCCAAGGCAGGAATCCTTATACTAATCCAGACAACTGATTGCCCAATCCTTTCTTGAAAACCTCCAGCAATGGAGCACTCGGGGAAGAAAGCTATTCCACTGATTAATCATTCTCAATGTCAAGAAATTCCTCCTTATTTCCAGGTTGCATCTCCCTCTGTCAACCTTCCATCCATTGCTTCTTCTTCTGCCCTCAGGTACTATGAAGAATAAATTGATGCCCTCTTCCCTGTGACAGCTCTTCAAGCATTGGAAGATTTTTTATCATGTCTCCCCTAAACCTTCTATTTATTAGACTAAACATAGCTTGTTCTCTTAGCCATTCATCATACGATTTAGCCTCCAGAACCCTTAATCATCTTTGTTGCTCTTCTCTGCACTCTTTCTAGGGCCTCAGCATCTTTTCTTGTTTTTTATTGTTGTGACCAGAACTGGACACAGTATTAGTATACTTGTTGAAAAAGCCCCATCTGCAGTGTATAAGATGTAGACCGGGGTGAAATGCTCCCGGTTCGGACCAGATCGCCTGATCCAGTAGCAATGGCAGCGGGTGGTTCGGAGAACCGGTAGCAAAACTCCCTGCGCGTGCCCCCCCCCATGCCCAGCTGAGCCGCGAAATCATCAGAGGCTTTTTTTTTACTTTTAAAAGCATTTTTTCTCCAACCTCTTCAGCCGAAAAAATGCTTTTAAAAGTTAAAAAAGAAAAAGTTGGCCACTCCCACCCAGTCACATTACCCCCCCAAGCCACGCCCACAGAACCGGTAGTAATAAATTTTACATTTCACCACTGCTGTAGACAGTTTGTCAGCTCCACTGTTGCCTGTATTTTAGGAATAGCCAACATTTTTGCTGAACGGACTTACAATCAGTACTAATGTGACAGCTTCAGGGGTGGGATTCTACCGGTTTGGACCAACCAGTAGCTCCGACGATCAGCTGGGCCCGCCCACCCACTCCTGTGCTTTACTTACCTATATCTTCACAGTTGATTAATGTGGCAGAGCGGATTGCTGCATGTCAGCTGTTTTAATTCCCTAGCACTAACGTGGAAGGTGATTTTTCATTCAATCGCGCACAAAGTGCGCGATTACCGAACTTGTTATTAAACCGGTAGGATCCAGTGGTGGGTTGCCCCCAGTTCGGACCGGTTCGCAAGAACCGGTAATAAAACCAGCGGGAGGCCCCACCCACTGCCCTGGATGTCATCATTAGCAATCTGCGCATGCGCAGAAGCAAGGCGTGCGATCCCGTTGCGAACCGGTAATAAAGGTAAGTAGAACCCACCCCTGGTAGGATCCCACCACTGGACAGCTTCCTACATTTCTAAATCTGTTGCAACCTTATAGTTCCTGGAGGCACTTTGAAAAGCCATTCAATCCAATTTGGTATCAGAAAGTTCCCCTGAAGTTCTGGTGCCTTATTCCAAGTAAATGTGAATAGGATGACATTGCCCGATTCTCACTGAAGGCCCTCAATTGTTGTGTTGCAGATATTATCACTACCTGTACACTCATTACCTGCCTGCTAGTCTGAAGAACGTGGTGGACCAACTAGCCAATTGTGAAGACATTTTAATGAACTTTTTGGTGTCCGCTGTGACAAAATTGCCTCCCATCAAAGTAACACAGAAGAAACAGTACAAGGAAACCATGATGGGACAGGTATGTGCAGAAGGTCTGCTTTAAACTTCTTGGCACAGGTTTGTAAATATCATTTTAGGGGATCATCATAACTTCGATATGACTGGTTGTAAGTCGAGGACTACCATAACTGCAATTCTCATAATTGTGAACAAAACTATCCTGAAAAAAATCATACTTCCTGAAGATCACGTACTCTTAGGAGCACATATTTTTTGCAAAAGTTGTATCATCTGTAAATAAGACTACAAAAAAATTACGTCAACAAGAACCTTAGGGTATCTGCCAGAATCCCAACTAATGTATTCAGACACCAGAATCTAAAGGGTTGCCAAAGAGCCCTACTACTAGATGTATGATACCTATTTTTAATCTGTACCAATGAGAGCTCACTTATAAATCTAAAATAAAACACTATGTCCCAAAGGTGCTTTTTCAGGAGGCAACTGGATTTTCTTGTTTTTCTTTGAAGACATTTTGCTTCTCACTCAAGAAACTTCTTCAGCTCTTGATTGGATGGAAGGGCATGGAAGGATTTCATTCCTTCATAATTCATAATCCTTCCATGCCTTCCACCCAGTCAGAGCTAAAGAAGCTTCTTGGATGAGAAGCGAAACGTCTTCAAAGAAAACCCAGAAAGTCCAGTTGCCTCTTGAAAAAGCATCTTTGGGACAACTATGACCTGGATGACTGAGAATCTCCATAGACATACAGTGCTATGTCTTTTATTTTTTATTAGGTCGATTTATATGCCACCCTTCTCCGGAGACTCAGGGTGGCTTACAATGCTTTAAGCAATAGCCTTCATACTTTTGTATATACCTGCTTAGTAGGGCTTTTTTTTTGGGCCCCCCAAGCGGTGTTCTATTTTATACAAAGTCAGCTTATTAAATATGTCTTTTTAAAAATGCTATAAAAATCCTACAAGTGAATGGATATAATAAACAGAAAACTTGACGTTGTTCAAAAATAGCCTGCCATCATGATTTGAAAGGAGAAATGTTCACAAATGGAGCTGCAACAGATGTGGGTTTTCTATTTTCGAAATAATTATTTAAAGTCAGTTCTTGTAAGAACGTGCAGGGGGAAAAGCTTCAGAATTTTTCTCTGCCCCATTAGGATGCTTATGTTAATTTGGGGGGGTGAAGTGCATGGTCTATTCGTTGTTGATGACTGTTTTTTCATGTTAGCTTACCATATATTTCGGACTATAAAACGCACCATAGTTTTTGGGGAGGACAATAAGAAAAAAGCTGATTGGGGTGGATTGGCCTCCCAGAATACCCCCAATCAGCTGTTCCCAGAGGTGAACTTTAGCAACAGGTTCGTTGGTTGTGAGCTCTGCACCTTGCTTTTTTTTCAGCCTGTGGAACCTCCATTTCAGAGGCCTTTTTTTGTCAGCCTGTGAAACCTCCGTTTGAGAGGCTTTTTTTCAGCCTCTGAAACCTCCGTTTCAGAGGCTTTTTTTTTTCAGCCTCTGAAACCTCTGTTTCAGAGGCTTTTTTTTCAGCATCTGAAACCACCGTTTCAGAGGCTTTTTTTTCAGCCTGTGAAACCTCCGTTTGAGAGGCTTTTTTTCAGCCTCTGAAACCACCATTTCAGAAGCTTTTTTTTTCAGCCTCTGAAACTTCCATTTCAGAGGCTGGGCAGGCCTACATTCGGTGTATAAGATGCTCCCAAATTTTCACCCTCTTTTAGGGGACAAAAAGGTGCATCTTATACTCCCGAAAAATACGGTAAATTTAAGAGTCTATGGAGATTCTCAGTCAACCATAATCCCAAAGGTGCTTCTTTCAAGAGGCAAGCTTTTTGGATGAGAAGTGAAACATCTTCAAAGAAAACCCAGAAAGTCCAGTTGCCCCTTGAAAAGAGCATCTTTGGGACTTAAATTTAACAATTCTCCCTGCAGATGCCATACATCTGAAAAGCCAGCCAATTGCAATCATTAGGATTTTTGCTTGAGAACGGGGCAAGTTCAGCTAGAATAATTATTTTTTTATTACTTTTCTGGTACTTCTTTTGAGAAGAAGTCAAATTTGCTGGCGAAATTGTTCTTTAATGGCCATTTCTGTAAAAATTTATCACTCTAATTCTTAAAATTGCCTCAATTCATAATTTTAAGCCACCGTTGGAATTATACTAAAGATGAGACATTGTAGGGTTTCACTCTTGATCATTTATCTAATCCAGTCTCAGGCAAACTGAGGCATTTGCCTCTTTTTAAAATTTAAATTGTAATCAATCTGAAACATGAAAATAATTCAGAGATGCAGTTTGTGACTACTAACCCTGGTAAGAAGAATGATGAGGTCTCCTTGCTGCCACTGGAGAGGACAAAACCATAGTTCACAAGCCACAAGTAGTCAATTCACACATTGCTGATCCAGCTCTCCAAGAATTCCTAGGAAATAAGGCAAGGCGGAGCAGGAAATTGTAGTTCAGGAACATCCGGTAGCCATTGTTGTCTGTGTTTAACCCAGATTCACTATACAGATAGTTCTCGCTTAACAAATATGATGGAGCCCAGATTTGCATTGTGTCATTCAGTGTGACTGTACTCAATGTTTGCTTTTACAATGGTTGTAAAGCAAATCACTGTGACCATTAAGCAAATCACATGGCTATTAAGCAAAAACATTCTCCCGAAAATCAGCAAAAAAAAAAAAAAAACCTACAAAATCACAGTCACAACCATGGGACACTGCAACTGGTTGTAAATGCGAGTTGATTGCCAAGTACCTAAAATGCAATCACATGACCATGGAGGGGTTTGCAGCAGTTATAACTTCAAGGGCAGGTCATAACTTGGAATGGTTATTAAATGACCAGTTGTTAAGTGAGGACTGCCTGTAATTCATCCTGATCATGCTGCATTGTGATTTAGAATTATTTATTTATTAAACATGTATACAACTCTGGGTAAGTCCCAAGTAAAAACATTAAAGACTAAGAAAAAAATACAAAAACAAAAGAATATAGGTAGTTGTCATCTTACGACCACAATTGAGCCCAAAATTTCCATTATGAGCCACAGTGGCGCAGTGGTTAGAGTGCAGTACTGCAAGCTACTTCTGCTGACTGCCTGCAATTTGACAGTTCAAATCTCAGCAGGCTCAAGGTTGACTCAGCCTTCCATCCTTCCGAGATTGGTAAAATGAGGGTCCAGATTGTTGGGGGCAATAAGCTGACTCTGTAAACCGCTTAGAGAGGGCTGTAAAGGCACTGTGAAGCGGTATATAAGTCTAGGTGCTATTGCTATTGCTAAACGAGACAAGAGGTTAAATGAGTTTGCCTCATTTTACGACCTTTCCTGCCACCATTGTTAAGTGAACCACTCCAGTTATTAAGTTAGGTTATTAAGTGAATCCGGCTTCCCCATTGACTTTGCTTGTCAGAACGTCACAAAAGGTGAACACGTGACCCCGGGACACTTCAACCGTCGTAAATACATGCCATAATTTTGATGGTGTGACCATGGGGATGTTCATAAAATCCCATATGAGGAAAGGCTCTATTCTTGTAAGGATAGGATAGGATAGGATAGGATAGAATAGAATAGAATAGAATAGAATAGAATAGAATAGAATAGAATAGAATAGAATAGAATAACAGAGTTGGAAGGGACCTTGGAGGTCTTCTAGTCCAACCCCCTGCTTAGGCAGGAAATCCTACACCACTTCAGACAAATGGTTATCCAATATCTTCTTAAAAACTTCCAGTGTTGGAGCATTCACAACTTCTGGATGCTGCAACGGTTGTAAGATTGGTCATAAGTCACTGTTTTCAAATGGTCATTCAACAAATGGTTGTAAGTCAAGGACTACCTGACTTACAAGGGTAAGAACCGGACAGGAATGAAAAAGAAACAATCCCATGTAATCATTTGCGAAAGTCCTGGATGAAGAACTTCAAAACACAAGGCATATGGATCTGGGGATCTGGGAAAGTGGGGGGAGACCTCTTTCCGGAGGGCAGGCATTGCTACAGAGAAGGACGGCTGGTAGATGGCATAGATGGCGTTGTTTAATTGAAGGAATCCGTAGTGTACCAATCCTACTGGATGAAACCAGCCCGACAGATATTATGGAATCATATGCAAATGCTCTTACCAATTCCACACTTTAGATATAAATGGAAAGCACATATGTTGTTCTGAGAGTGAAAAGGAAATAAAACTATTAATGGAAGAAGGCTCAAATGAAGTAACCTATTGCTGGCGCAGGAAGCGTACCAGTTAATATGATTATCTTCTAAACAAGTGGCTGTTCGTCATTTAAGCTTGTTCTCTGTGCTACCAGGGAACCCCTAAAAATTCATCTCAGCATCTCATTCTGCTTCTTCTATCTAACAGAGCACTAATAAATTAATGCAGCGTTTCTCGACCTCAGCAACTTCAAGATGTGTGGGACTTCAATTCCCAGAATTCCCCAGTTGCTGAAAATTGAGCAAAGCTGAATTAAGGTGCTAAATCATCTCTACGTTCTCCTTCGCCCTAACCCCACTGACTAAGATGTAATTATTGACAGGCTATATATAAAAGAGGGACGCGGTGGCTCAGTGGCTAAGACGCTGAGCTTGTCGATCAAAAGGTCGGCAGTTCAACGGTTTGAATCCCTAGTGCCGCATAACGGGGTAAGCTCCCGTTACTTGTCCCACCTTTGCTGGCTGAGGAACTCTGGGAGTTGAAGTCCACAAGTCTTAAAGTTGCCAAGGTTGGAGACCCCTCACCTAGTGCACATCGGCTTGATTTAGCTTAAGTGTGATTTGTGGATACAACCACTGTGGGTTGGTGAGCCGTTCACGCTCTCTCTTGTAGTCTACTCTGGCTTCTGGCATGGTTAAAACAAACTGTGCTAACCCAACCTGTGAGGGAAACAATAACAGAAGGATCATCCATTATCCAGAATTCAATAGGATTTGGCTTGTTCTCCTTTCTGACATTTTATGCTCCTGAAACAGAGTTCCAGCTAGCAAGAGAAGAAGCATTGTTCGGTTTGTGTTCCAAGTATCTAATCCCTCAGAAATGAGGATTTCGAACTTCTAATTTCAGAAGCTCTCTGCTTACCCAAGGCAAGCAAGCAACAATTTCCCGCTGAGCCATTGATTCCAAAGATTCAAATCAAGCGATTTTTCCCTGTCCTGAAGCTAAGCACAGGCAGTGTGCATGTCAGCAAAACAGGACCAGTTTTATTACTGCCAGTATAATGCTGCAAACTAATATTAAGCACAGATCCCAATGTTCGATGGTAAAATGGATACAATCTGGATTTTCTTTTGATTATAGAAGTTTGCACTTTTTAGAAGGACAAAAGTCTTGGCGGAGAAGGCTCCGCCACACACAAATGAGGAAGGAAGATATTTTGGGTTTCTTAGAGGGACCAAGATTTCTTAGGATATTATTTTGTTAATGACCTTGATTCAATCTTAGAGCGCTGTGGTGGGGCAGTGGTTAGAATGCAGTATTGCAGACTAATTCTGCCGACTGCCAGTAGTTTGATCCTGACCGGCTCAAGGTTGACTCAGCCTTCCATCCTTCCGAGGTGGGTAAAATGAGGACCCAGATTGTTGGGGGCAATTATGCTGACTCTGTAAACCACTTAGAGAGGGCTGTAAAGCACTATATAAGTTAAGTGCTATTTAGAACTCACTTTTTTTGTTGTTTCCTACCTCCAAAAAGTAGGAACGCGGTGGCTCAGTGGCTAAGACGTTGAGCTTCTTGATCAAAAGTTCAGCAGTTCAGCAGTTCGAATCCCTAGTGCTGCGTAATGGGATGAGCTCCTGTTACTTGTCCCAGCTTCTGCCAACCTAGCAGTTCGAAAGCACGTTAAAAAATGCAAGTAGAAAAATAGGGACCACCTTTGGTGGGAAGATAACAGAGTTCCATGCGCCTTTGGTGTTTAGTCATGCCGGCCACATGACCACGGAGACGTCTTTGGACAGCGCTGGCTCTTCGGCTTTGAAACGACTAGCACATATGTGCAAGGGGAACCTTTACCTTTCCCCCAAAAGGCAAAAAATTGTTCTGTGACAATGGTAGATGCTTTTTCTGGATTTATATTTAGCCTGGGGTCTTAACATTTTTCATCCGTTTAGATGAGAAAGGCACAGAGACAAGAGTATAATGATTAACTTCTGCCTGTTATCCAGCCCCCATTCCCAACTATCATACTCGACCAATAACTGTACAATAACTGGTAGCCCTAAGTAGGTGTTTTCTTACAAGAAGTATTTCCTCTGTTTGAGATTTTAAAGTAAAATACAGATAGTCCTCGGCTTACAACCATTTGTTTAGTGACCGTTTGAAGTTACATCAACACTGAAAGTGTGACTTACATTGAAGCATCCCCATGGTCACATGATCAAAATTTGCATGCTGGGCAACTGACTCACATTGATTGCAGATTAAAAAGTAAAAGTTCCCCCTTTTCCCAAGTCATCAGTCACATTGTCCAATAGAGGCACAGGCCGGTTGCTTGGTTACTCCACTCCTCCTCTCCCTAGCCACCTGTTGGAATGTCCTTGGTTCCCACAGGAAAACCTTTTATTTTGACTACAAACCCCCAGCTATCTATCTCCCGCACCCTCCCTCTCCCTTCTTCTTCCTTGTGGCAACCCTGAAGCCTCAAAGATGGCCTCAGCCAGGTTCGCTTCAGGGTTGACCCAAATTATTTAATCAATCCAGCAGTTCAGTGCTATTCTAAAACATAATTTTCTTGGACCTCTCCCTCATTCTGCTTCTCTCTTGTGTGTGTTTTGGGGCAGGGCAGAGGGGCAGCGAAGATTATAAACCTGAGGTAGGGATGCTCTGGTTCTTCATAGTTCTAGAAATTTTTCCAGGCGGAAAAAAAAACGGACTATAAAAAACTTTTGAAGAATAAACTGGCTTGTTTGTGTTTTGTTCCAGACTTCCAGAGCTTCTCGGTGGGCTGATCCAGATCATTTTGCTCAGAGGCAAAGCTGCATGAACACTTTTGCCAGCTGGTTTGGCTATATGCCGCTGATCCATTCTCAGATGAGGCTCGATCCCGTGCTCTTTAAAGATCAGGTCTCCATCCTGAGGAAGAAATATCGAGACATTGAACGACTTTGAGGAGCCCAACTGAGGGGGGTGTGGGTGGGAGTGAGAACTGGATGGTTCCCCTAGCCCAGCGCAGAGCTACACAGATCCTCGAGTCAGACCGCGCCGAGAACAACTCAATCCCAAAAAAATTGCGACATGCCAATGTAGTAGCCAAGTAGCTCTGGACCCAAAGGGAAATTGGGATTTGCGCTGGACTGCTTTGAAACACCCCTCAACAGGCTGCAGGTTCCTCAAGACTAGGTTGTGTACAGTTTCATTATGGAACATTAAATAATTATTTTTTGAAATGATTGCTATGCAGGTTTAAACTTTTTTAATGATAAAAAAAAAATCCCTATTAAAACAGAGTTCTTTCTTTAATCAAAATTGTGTCGGTTGTTGTGACTCTTTCAAAGGGGCCAGGCTTTCTAAATAATATCCCCATAAAAATGTGGTCTGAGGCAAGCCTTGAGGCAATATGTTGTTCTTTTAAGAGAAAATAGTTGTGCCTTTTTATTGAAACATAAAGACACGCAAAGCACATTCAAAAATACAAAACATGAGGGAAAAGACCAGTATTTGAAGTTTGCTCCAAAGGCCCCAAGAGAGAAATCTGTTCCAGTCCACCTCAAGTCACACTTCCTTGATCCTTTTCCCACCTTCCACACAATTTTAGGACAGTGAAATGGAGGAGGAGTCATTTTTTCCCATTACCTGCCAAGGAAGAGCCCAAAGAAGATGTTTCTACTGCTCCGATGCAAGGATTGAGATCTCTTTTTTAAAAAAAAAAATTAGAATAAAAAGTTTGGAAAGGGTTTGGAAAAGTAGTGATTGCTAGAATTCCCACAGTTCCTTCTGGCTATTTTTTTTTTTTTTAATTTGATTTATATGCCGCCCTTCTCCGGAGACTCAGGGCGGCTTACAATGCGTTAAGCAATAGCCTTCATACTTTTGTATATTTATACAAAGTCAGCTTATTGCCCCCACAAACTGGGTCCTCATTTCATCTACCTTAGAAAGGATGGAAGGCTGAGTCAACCTTGAGCCTTGGAGAGATTCGAACCAGCAGTAAATTGCAGGCAGCTGTGTTAATAACAGGGTGCGTAGACCACTGTACTATCAAGGCTCTTTTTCCCAGTTTTCCCAGTGCCTCACTGAAAAACAGCTCAAGACTTGATATTTTCAAGAGAAATTGGAATGTCTTTCTCTCCGGTTTCATTTTCCTCATGTTGAGATAGTGCTGTGAAGAAATGAAATGTCCAATTGGAGCAATGGGTACCAACAACCTGTGTTTTGATATTGATTAAAAAACGAAGTTCCCTTCAAGTCAATATCTTTTCTTGATAGCTTCATGAAAGTACCTGGGACATTTTTCTGGCAATAATATGAATGTGGCTTGCCTATCCTTTCATGAATATTTTTGACTTCCAGTATAACTTTAATCCCTAAAATTTACTAGATGTCTCCGGACCAGATACTGATCAGGTTTGGTCTTTCCAACTTTTGAGGATCAGTCAAGATCAACTAGGTGCTGCCATCTATCTGAAGAGCATGTTCTGCCTATCTGCAGCTGTTCTTAGTGTGAACCCATCAAAGAGAAATTGTGGACAAATGAAACTAGGATTTTCCTCAACTTTTGGTATAAAAACAATCTACCGTCAATGTTTCTACCGTCAATGTTTCCCTCTCCAAGCTTAGAAGTGTTTACTCAAAACTGAAGGAATTAAGAAGGTGTAAGTAGAATTGAGAAGAGACATCACATATTTCCAAAATTATACAAACTGTGCTAGCCTCTTAACCCTGACTTTTCCATTAAAAACACTTAAGCTTTTAAAGTTTAAAAGAGTTGCAAGTTTCCTCCAAGGTCTAATGGGAGCCACTTGGATCTTCTCCAGAAGACCCATGCATCCAACATCATGATACTAATAATAATAATCAATTGCACTCATCATTCTCTTCTTGAAAAGAAGCACAGAGCTACACTTGTAAAATCTTCCTTAATGCACGGGGCATATCCCTACAGAAGGAGTAAATTATCCAATATTTGTATTAATTAAATTTCAGTTGTATTTTAAAGGGGCAGGGGGATTATAAAAAGAAAAAGGCAATAAAATATTAATACGATCTGCCTTGGCTTCTCAACAAAAATGCTGAAATTTGGCATGATTATAGCCCTCAAAGCTATATGCTGCTGGCCTAATTTCATATATTAAAGATAAATTATCTAGATTTTTAAAAAAAAAAAACTGGAACAGCTGTATCAGCACCATCTTGAATTTTGGATGTCATATGGTTAATCACTTGGGTAAAAGAAAATTCCAAATCAACCTCTCAAATACATAAAACTGAAACTTTTGAATTCTTCTGGAAGAGCCTTAAAACGATAACAATAACAGTATGGCAATGATAGAGCTCTGGAATCCCTATGGCTGCTATGTCCTTTAAATTTGCAATCTCAATAGATCTGGAGAACATCAGATATGGAAAATGAGGTTAGATGAATATGAAACTTTCTTCAAAAAATCTTTGTATTCTATGTTCTTATCTTGGCTGTACACCGCCCTGAGTCCTCAGGGAGAAGGGCGGTATATAAATTGGAAATTAAATTAAATTGTGCACCAGCCATTTGTTATGTCCAATCCCCAGCAAACTATCATTACAGAACAGAAGAGAACAGAATTCTTTATTGGCCAAGTGTGATTGGGCACACAAAGAATTTGTCTTTGGCTCATATGCTCTTAGTGTACATAAAGAAAAATCAAATACATTCATCAAGAATAATAAGATACAACACTTATTGATAGTCATAGATTACTAATAAGCAATCAAATTACATCAAAGCTTGATTTATCCTGTTGTCCTATTTTGGTAATCTGTACCGTTTCCCCAAAAATAAGACCTCCCCGGATAATAAGCCCAATCGGGCTTTTTATTTATTTATTTTATTTGTTTCCATTTCTATACCGCCCTTCTCCAAATAGGACTCAGGGCGGTGAACAGCCAAAGTAAAAAACAGAGCATACAAAATTTAAAAAACAGTATTAAAATAATTAAATATTTTGGCCGTAAATTAAAACAACCCAATTTAAAATCAATTTAAAATTTAACTCAAGCCAGCCCAGCTAGTTGAAATAAATAAATAAATAAATAAATAAATAAATAAATAAATAAATAAAATAAAAGGGCTTTGATGGTACAGTGGTCTAAGCACCCTGTTATTAACACAGCTGCCTGCAATTACTGCTGGTTCGAATCTCTCCAAGGCTCAAGGTTGACTCAGCCTTCCATCCTTTCTAAGGTAGGTGAAATGAGGACCCAGTTTGTGGGGGCAATAAGCTGACTTTGTATAAAATATACAAAAGTATGAAGGCTATTGCTTAACGCACTGTAAGCCGCCCTGAGTCTCCGGAGAAGGGCGGCATATAAATCAAATTAAAAAAAAAAAAAAAGGTTTTCAGGGCCCGACGAAAAATCCGGAGGTCTGTTATTGTACGTAACTCTGGGGGAAGGTTGTTCCAGAGGGTGGGCGCCATCACAGAGAAGGCTCTCTGGGGGTCGCCAGCCGACATTGTCTGGTGGACGGCACCCTGAGGAGGCCCACTCTGTGTGAGCGTACTGGCCGAGGGGAGGCTATTGGTGGCAGAAGGCGGTCTCGTAAGTACCCCGGCCCTAAGCCATGGAGTGGCTTTTGAGTGCATGTGCTAAAATAAGCCCTCCCTGAAAATAAGCCCTCCTCAATAATATTTAAATAAATGTGCAGCCGGTCCCTGCCATTTCCTTTGGTTAGGGTTAGGGAGACAGAGCTGGAAATCAGGTAAGACAGCAAGAACAGCCCCATCTTGCTCCACATGCCCCAAAATAATAAGACTTTTCTGAAAATAAGGTCAAGTGTTTATTTTGGGGTTCAAAAAAATATAAGACGGTCTTATTTTTGGGAAAACACGGTAGTAACTTACTATTGAGGTTTCAATATTACATCCAGTGGTGGGTTGCCCCCGGTTCGCACCGCTCTATAGAACCCGTAGTAAAACCGGTGGGAGGCTCCGCCCACTGACCCCGACATCATCAAAATGCTTCTTGCGAGCACGCACGTGCGGCCCCGCTGCGAACCGGTAATAAAGGTAAGTAGAACCCACCCCTAATTACATCCATTCGTAAGGAGAAGAAGGAAGAGAAAAATACAATAGCCCAAAGATATACATAGGATGGCAAAGCACAGTTTAGCACTGTCCGGGCTATAAAGTGTATGTGAATGGATTGGATACAAGACTTACTCATGTTTTAAAAAGCATTTTGGTCATCTCCTTTCTCTTGTGTGTAGCTAAGAGAATTACTCTGGGTTTTTTTAACTCTGAATACCCTTCACTGTTCTTGCTCTTTACAGATAGCTACAGCAATTAAACAAGAAACAAGGAAACAGATTCATTTCAAGATAATTTCAGGAACATATGGGGCATTTTCTCTTTTGTAACGTGTTTCCAAGATACATCCCACCAGTTAGGGAACTATGTGTCTTGTAGACAACTTTGGAAATGTTTGTTCCATATATGGCATTCAATTTCAAGGAACTCTCCTCCTCAAGGCTTCAGCCAGCATTGTCCCTATTGAACTAGAAGACTTCACAGCCATGAAACATTTGAGGGACAAAGCTATTTCCACGAAAGGCTTGGAGCAAATTATATTTAGAAAGCTAGCAAAGAGCTTAGCAACAAAGGTACCCCTTCTTCCACTCAGTTCTTTCTCCTTGTCTGCATTAAATAGCTCTGTCTGTTACTCAGTGCTTATTCTCTGTGGCTGGTTCAATAATATTCAAAAGAAAGTAATACATCTTCCTCAGCTATTTTTGTTGTGTTGTCAGTCACACTGAATAATCAACTTAGCCCATTTCTCTAATGGGCTAAAAAAAATTGTGGATTTTTTTTAAAAAATATAACATTGCTCTTATTATCATGATTTGAATCAGCTCAAAGATTCCATTATAACTCTAATCCCACCTCCCCTAGGCCTACCCTTCTGTCAAATAATTATAAAAATTTAGAAAGACAGGACTTAACTATGTAGGAATGATGTTGGTACTTTCAGCAGGACATCGGTACCAGTAGGACATCTGCAGTGGTGGGTTCCTCCCGGTTTAGCCCGGTTCGGCCGAGCTGGTAGCGGTAACAATATGATGTCACTGAACCATTTCTGCCCCCCCACCCACCCCCCACGTTATTCTTATCTTTTATTTGGCGCCACCCCCAATCTATTGCTGCCTCCTGAGTCCCAGCTGATGCTAGAGGGAAAAAAACTGTTTAAATTCTTGCCATGGGGCTTCAAAGGGCCGCCCTACAGCTGATCAGTGGTAAAAGAAAACAAATGAGTAGACGAGTGCCTGCAAAAATAAA